ACTGCTACTGCTAAACCCAGGACATTATCCACCCCTTATTCCATACCATTCACGTCATGCTCAGATCCCACATTTTCAATATACCCTCACTCTTATCTAAGTGCACTCTCATCGTAGTGCATGGACCAGTCCCTATAAAGCTGCTGAGTCCATCTGGTCCATGATGTCAGGCTCCATCTCTTGTAACAGTCTTTCAGAGCAGGAGAGGCTGTGTGCAGTGTTCACACACATGAATAACCTGGGCAATAGTGTCCATTGCTAAGTCCACCCCTCGATCATGAGTCCATCTCGATGTTGCATCTCTGCTCTGATGGCCTTAAGGGTCATGGGCCCACCAGGCTCAAAATAATTCACTGTCCCCTTCAGCAGTTTCTGCAGCTTGTTGCTGGGGACTCCATACAGCTGCCTTCCATCTCCAATGCTTCCAAAGCACTGGAGGGGCCCAGTGGACTAGATACTTGCCCATACTGTCCCACATGCCCTGCCACTCATGGCTGTCCAGCCTTGGGGGAAACCTCTTGGTCCTCCCATATTGTCGTCTAACCCCAGACAAGACCCAAACCCGACTCTGCTTAAATTTTGGGATCAGACACAATGGTGGTGGGTAAAACACAGTCTGTGTGTGTGCCAACATGGTGAACACCATCACAGTCAGCAGGCAGGTCCCAAGGGTACCCAAAGGCCATTCAAGACTCAGAACTCTCAAGCGAAGCTGCTGTACTTGTCACTGGGGCTGGTGCAGCTGCTGTGCTTGTCACTGGGGCTGGTGCAGCTGCTGTGTCACTGGGGCTGGTGCAGCTGCTGTGCTTGTCACTGGGGCTGGTGTAGCTGCTGTGCTTGTCACTGGGGCTGGTGCAGCTGCTGTACTTATCACTGGGGCTGGTGTAGCTGCTGTGCTTGCCGGCTCTCCCACCACCAGCTTCTCTTTTCCTGAGTCCATCTCTTCCTCTGCCTTGCTGGGAAATGCTGCGGGGTCTCCTGCGCCCTCATGGGGCTCGGCGGGCGGCTTCCGGGGAATGTTCTCGGCCGTCGCGGTGCTGGGCTCGGCCGCGGGGCTCGGCTCCTCCGCGGGGCGCGGCTCCTCCGCCACTTCCTCCCGCTCCTCGGCCTCCCCGACCTCCTCCATCGGCAGCCGCTCCCTGCCGGCCTCCGGTCCCGCTCCCGCTTGGTCCCCGGGGCCGCTCTCCCGGGCCGCTTCAGCAGCCGCCGGCTCCCGGGGCCGCTCCCCCTCGGCTCCCCAGAGCCTCACGCAGACGGAGGCGAGGGCGAGGGCCAGGACGGTGAGGAGCAGCCGGACGGACAGGGACCAGTCCACGGCCACGTCCGTCCCGCCCTGCTGCTGGAGCCCACCCGTATTACAAGTCATTGCCATAAAGTACAGTGAGACAGGAACCTTAGCCCAAGCCCCACACTTGATAAACACTAACACAGCAAATACCGGCTCTAAGTAAGTTACAACATTCTGAAGCTGTGAGATCAAGAGGAACAACTCTGAGAGCCAATAAATCAGCATTGTGACGGTCAGATCTGTTGTTATCTCAACCCCTCGTGCCCCACGTTGGGCGCCAAAAAGAACTGTCGTGGTTTAACCCAACCAGACAGCTTGTTACCCACTCCCCCCCCTTCTTGCCCTCCCCCTACTCCTGGGGGAATGGAGAGGAGAATCAGAAAGAATGCAACTCCCACGGGTTGAGATAAGAACAGTTTAGTAACTAAGGTATAACACAAATCACTACTGCTACCACCAATAATAGTAATGATAAAGGAAATAACAAGGGAAGAGAATACAACACCTCATCACCAGCCGACCGATAACTCGCCCCCCCAGCCCGACCAAGCACCGACCCATACCTCCTCCAACCCTGCAGTCCACCAAGCCCATCCGGGTAACTCGCCAGTTCCCCCCTGGGCATGACGTGCTGTGGTATGGAATACCTCTTTGGTCAGTTTGGGTCAGGTGTCCTGTCTCTGCTTCCTCCCGGCTCCCCTCCTCCCTGGCAGAGCATGAGGCTCACAAAGTCCTTGGCCAAACCAAAACATCATTGTTTTTCAGCTCTGTTCCCAGCCCGAAAGTCAAAACACAGCACTGCACCAGCTAGCAAGAAAGAGAAAAATGACTGCCACTGCTAAACCCAGGACAGGAGGCATTGTAGTTTCAGAATGGAAGCTGAGGTTTCCTTTCTGGAAAACTGGCACCCAGTAGTTGAGTGACCAGAGCAAGGAAAGAAGAAGTTCACTTGTTTGGTGGTGACTCAATACAGCAAAGCCCTCTGTGACTTTCAGAAGAAAAATATTGTGTTTCCAATGGCTTTTACAACCAAACATGCCAAAAATATAATAAAACCCCACAGACATGCTGCACAGGGAGAAACAACAACCCTGGTACTGGCAAGAGACTTTTTGTGCTTTCACTGTTCTATTTATGACCAAAGCTGTTTTGCTGCTCAAACTAGAGACAGTGGCAACATGAAGTGCATAGAATCTGCTCCAGCTGGAGCATCTGCTGCCCCTTTCTTAACTCCTATTGCCTTCTTCCTCTGCAGCATTCTGGTCTCCTGAGGAAGCTTCCCTGACCTCCTCAGAGCAGATCAGCACCAGGAGGAATCAGAAGTTGGAAAAATCATGGTATTACATAGTTAGTGAGGGAGCTGGGAGCTTAAAATTTCAATACATGAACAAAAATGCATACAACATTAGGATAAATGAAAATGAACAAAGATGGCACTTGGCGGAGGGTGGAGAGAGGAAGAGGGAGTGCCGTGTCTTGTGTTTTGGGCTTGGATCTGCAGAGGTGAGGATGGGGAAGCTGAGTTTTCAGTTCCCTTCCCACACAGCATCAACCTTGCACCACACTGCCCTGTGTGAGTACAAGCACAGCCACACCTTCCCCTGATTTCTTTTGTTCTGCACCCCCCTGATACTGCTGACACCAGAAGCTGCTGCTCCAGCCTGATGTCTCCTAGGCTGGCTTCTGGGAATGCTTGTGTGAGCTACAGCAAGTGAATTATCTCACCCCAGGTGCAAAGCACAGAACACCCTCACACACATTTGGAATGGTTCCTGCACTGCTTGCCTTTGGTCAGGGCACAGCTCTCCTCTCCAGCTGGGACAGGGGGAGCTGGCCAGTTCTGGCCACCAATATACAAGCTGAGATCAGTGTTTAGAGTGGGGCATTGGCAGGGTCCCTGAAAAGACAGGTCCCCTGGGAAGCACAGCAGCCTGACACTGCAGCACAGCTATCCCTGTGTGCTCCTTACTTTGTTTTAAAGCCTTCATAATACAGACAGAAGGCTTTTCTCACTGATCTTACCTTCATTGTCCTGAAGAAGTGTCACTGTGAGGACCCTCTTTCTCATGCTTAGGCCATAAAAAGCTATGTGACCCTGGTATTAAGCTTCCAACTTGGGAAGGGAAGATCCAAGGCAGCAGACCAAAGCTTTGTGGGTCTAACTGCAAGACCTACTTGACCAAGAGCTCATCTGCTTCCCCATGCTCCCCCGGCTGCGCTGACTACTTTAATAAAAGCCAGTAACTCTTCCTACAAATTTGCTTTGCTAAAGCCAAGTGGCATCCCCTCTCCGTGTCCCTGATCTGCCTACCAAGCCTGTAGGCAAGCAGAAAGCTGTCTGGCAGACAGGAAAGGCAGACCACCGGAGCACTCTGGGAGGCTCTGGAAGACACTAGAAAGTAACATTGAAAGAATTACACACACAAGAAGAAGCAATAAACAGTTAACATTGGGAACATAAATTCTCATGGCATTGTCATGTTATGCACAATATAGTTCCCATTAGATAGTCTAGCCTTTAGAACATAACTACCAGTAGTAACTAGGAAAAGTAGCAATGTGTGAAGCTAACAGGTAGCTAGGGTATGTCTCTAAACAGGAAAATAGTATGAAGGGATTAAACATTGGCATTAGGACTGGGCAGAAAATACATTTGTGTAGTTGTAAGAAAATAGGAATTGCAAAAAAAAAAAAGAGCCCTGTAGCTCAGGAACCACCTTGGTCAAACTGTGACTATGACTGTACTCCTGCCTGTTCTGCAGAATTAGATCAGAAATAAAATATAAATTTGCAAGCAGCAGAAAAATGATGGCACTGGGTGGTGAAAAACCAAGGAAGTCAGAATCCATATGCAAAAAAAAAAAAAAAAAAAAATATCCTTTGAAACCTTTTGTACTTGTCCTTGGAAAGAAAATACACTGTGCTAATAAAGCACTTTTAAAGGCATTTTAGAAACATGAGCACTTACAGCATCCCCATAACATAGGCCAGTATGACTATCTCTGTTGTAATCAGATTGACTCATGTCCCACAGAGTGAATCACTGTCACTCTGTTGTGTCCAGGAAGGTCCTTTGCTCAATCATCATTCGAAATGCCTCTAATTTCTCTCTATTTTATTATGCCTCTGGCCCCCACATTGTAAAAATAAAATGCTAGCGTTTCCTTCAACAAAATTCTGCTTTTCCAGGAAAAAAAAAAGAGGATGGCAGTTAGGCAGCTCATCTCTTACAGGGCCATTCCCTCTTCGTCTAAGCAATGAGATCTGTTCTGATAGGAAAAATGACATTCCTAGAACATCAGCCCGTGCCATGTGGTCTGTTTGCCATGCTCTAACAAAAAAAAGACGTAAGGTCAAGGAGGATGTACAACCAATATTTGTTGAGCTGTAAAAGCTAGAGGACAACCATTTCCAGCAGTCCATGGCTTCTCGCAGTCTGGGATGTACAAACAGGGGAATATGCCCTTGAGAGTACACCTCGCCAGTGTTATTGGCAGTGCTGCACTCAGCTGCACCAGGCTAAAGACATTTGTGTTTCCATGCCTTCAGATCCAGTCTTCCTCACCTTGGACCTTGAGGCTGCTGAGAAATTATTTGCTCAACAGAACTAGGTAGATAACCACCTGGTGGAGGGCTTCTGCACCAACACGCAGGCCTCATTTGCCACAGCCCAAGAAGGTTCCCCTGAGTAACAGGAAGTTAGTGAGCTAGGTTAAAGTGAGACTGGTACATTTGTCAGAGCAGGAGGTAGACAGGAAGACGAGTTTTCTTTGGTGAAGTTTACCATTCAATATCTGCAGCCTGCACAACTACTCATATGCAAAAGATGGTACTCTGCTAAACGTTTTCTGTTTCATATTCCAATTCCATTGCATTCATAAGGTTCTCATACTCAGGATTTTTCCTCATGTGGATGCTGTCAAGGCCGTTGTTTTTCACAGTGAAAGTGTCATTGGATGTTTCAGTCTTAGAATCTGCATCTTTGTGTGGGCACTTAACAGGGACTTCCCCATTCGCCTCCAGTCTGGTGACATCTGCAGTGCTGTGGCTGAAACAACAGGGAGACATTATTGAGAGGGATGACTAGACGAGAAGTCATTTGATTTACATCTTAGTCCGAGACAGTATCCACCACATAATCTGTGGAACAGCAAAGTTTATATTGATCGAATGAGGGCCTGGGAGGCTCTGGAAGGCACTAGAAAGTAACATTGAGAGAATTACACACACAAGAAGAAGCAATAAACAGTTAACATTGGGAACATAAATTCTCATGGTATTATCATGTTATGCACAATATAGTTCCCATTAGATAGTCTAGCCTTTAGAACATAGCTACCAGTAGTAACTAGGAAAAGTAGCAATGTGTGAAGCTAACAGGTAGCTCAGTTATGTCTCTAAACAGGAAAGTAATATGAAGGGATTGAACATTGACATTAGGACAGGGCAGAAAATACATTTGTGCAATTCTAAGTAAATAGGAATTGCACAAAGTAGTACTTGGATAAGCGCTGGGTCATGCTTCTTAAAGAGAAAGGCATCTATAGAAGAAGGGACTTATCTCAAAGGAAGAGCTGAGAATTCCTGTCCATTGCTTTGTGGAATGATGGTGGGAATTTACTGCAGAGAATAGTTTTCCCATGGCACCTGCAAGGCATAGTAACGGACCCAGAATATCTTTCTCTCATCCTAATATAATAAAGAACAGACTCTTGCTGCCTTCTGCCCTAAGATGTCTATGTCCTCATGCTAAACTGACTGTCAAGGCATTCAGATCCTCCCCCTGTGAGTCAAAGAACTGTCTGGCTTTGACAGCAAAGAAAGAGGCTTTCTGGAAACAGACATCAGTGTGATGCCCCAAAGTCTTCTTGATGTCCAGTACTCACAAAGCAACTTCATAGAGAAGTTCTGGAAAAAAAAAAAAAAAAAGAAGGATCGAAGCTGTGCATCAACAGGTTTTACAGCTGTCACGGGAAAAATAAAATCCAGCCAAACAACTCCAAACCAGACAAAAACCCCACCCGCTTCCATGCATTCCCATCTTCGGGAATAAGCCTTCCACCCTGCCTCTTCCTAGAATGGACCAGCTGGGGCTGGGGATGATGAGGATGCGGATGGAGCCGTGGCGAGCGCCGCGCTGTCCCGCCCTCCCGTGCCCTTGGTGCAGGGCAGTTTTCTGCCGCCCGTCCCGTCCCGGGCCCCCCCGCCCTGCCCTCCTCTCTCACCCTCCGCATTCCGCCGCCGGCACCGAGCTGCGGTCAGGAGCGCTCCAAGCGCGGCTGCGCCCAGCACCACGGCCAGCGCGGCCGGCAGCGCGTACCGCGGCGCGGGGAGACCTGCGGACGGGGAGGAGAGCGCTGTGACCACGCCGGGGGAACCGGGCCTGGCGGAGAAACGCTCTTTGCAAGTGCCCTAAAGCAAGCGGCACTCGCCGGGCTGCGGGCAGCCCTTTCCCGGCAGAACCACAGCCAACTCCGGGCGGAAAAAGCCCTTCGCAGCGCCAGGGGCGGGTGGCTCCCTCCTAGCGAAACCCCGGTGTCTGCCGTGCAGTTACCAGCCTGCCTTCTCGGTACAAACCTTGCACTTCCCATCACGGGGCTCCACTCACCCGTGGCAACGGGAGGCTCCTCCGACCCCCCCTCGGAGAGCTGCTTCGTTGCCGTCATACCTGTAAAGGAGGGAGGAACGCGTTGTGACCCTGCTGGGAGAGCTGGGTTTCCTCGGGAACTGGCAGTGGCCTCCGTGGGGTCACCAGCACGGCTCCGCATGGATGTAACTGCTGCCCCATTTCGATGAGCACGGTTGATTCTCTCAGGCTAACATGTTTCAAGTGCATGGAATGAAAACACCCAAAACACCCACGAACCTGCTCTCAGAGCAACAAGACATTTTTATTCCTGACATGTCATCCTGCACACACATGTTGCCCCCAAGCCATCATCCCTGGGGTCCCTGGTAGCCCTGCCCAGCATGGTGCAGATCTAGTAACAGGCTTGTGGCTGGCTATAGCATGGCCAGGGAATGCTTTGGCATCACCCTACATCTGGGTTTCCACAAGACTTTCTCACTTCATTTCTCTTATGGTGATTCCCTGGCTGGTGTGAGGGGGGTTACCACTGGCAGCTACATCCAAAGGCTTCCTGGAGCAGCAAATCAGGTTTCTTGCCCCAGGTGACATCCTGCTGAAGTTGTGCAACATCCTGGTTTTCCTAGGCCCCTTTAGCTCTGGCTCAGCTGCTGTCCTCGGGGGCTCCAACCCACCCACCCACACCTGAGCACCCACGCCTGGGGAAAGCAGTGGGTAACACTGCTGGAGTCCCTCTCTGGAGGCATTCAAACCCCACCTGGATGCATTCCTGTGTAACCTGGTCTAGGTGGCCCTGCCTTGGCAGGGGGGTTGGACTAGATGATCTCCAGAGGTCCCTTCCAACCTTAATGATTCTGTGATTCTGTGACAGGGAGTATCATTTCTATCCCACCTGCAAAGAGGATCTGCAGCCCAAAAGGAGCATCAAGTGGGTTTGTCTCACCTTCTCTGTCAGTCACAGAGTGCCAGGGTGAAAGCAGCCTTTCCCCTGCAGCCCAGGTCACTTACCTGTGGTCACTGGCTGGGGCACATTACCTTGAGGGGTGAACAGGGGTGTGCTGTGTTGGCCTGTCCCAGGGGTGGGCTGCTGTGTGACTGAAGACCCTGTGGGAGAGACTAATCAACGAGCCATGTCCCCTGCTCTCTGTTAGCAGTGCAGGTCAGGTAAGAGCATGACATGCCACGGGTAGGAGCCAGACTCCTATCCTGCACCGTTCTGGTCCCAAGAGGACACAGGGGACATTGTCTTAACTCCTGCCATAATCAGGCACACTCCGAAACAGGAGGAGTATCAATCTGTGGTTTCCTCTCTGGGAAAGCAGTGAGGACACAATTCATGTCTAACATTACATAGCTGATCCTACTACGAAAAAGGAAACTCCCTGTCTCAGTCTTCTGCAGCAAAGATGAGGAACTCTATCCTGGGGACTCACCTGTCACTGTGAGCTCAACAGCATCGCTCTGCTGCACAGCCCCGGCCCCAGCCCTGTTTTCCACCTCACAGTAGTACTTCCCAGTGTCGGAGGGCTGCAGGCTGTCCCACACCAGCTCAGCCTGCCTGCTCAGCAGCAGGGCTTTCTGTCCCGGGGTGCCCCTGAACCAGCGGTAGCTGATGGGGGGGGACCCGCTGGCCACACAGGTCAGGCTGGTCCTGGCTCCTGTGGGTACCGTCAGCCCCAGTTCGCCGGCCCTGATGATGGGCTTGGTTGCTGCCACTGGAAGACAAAGTAGATGGCGTGAAAGATTATTTCTACCAGCTGCTGCTTCATCTTCATGCTCTGTGGATTAGATTGGCTACTCAAGAGCAGGGCTTTACTGCTGGCCTTACCTTTGACAACTTTAACCGTAGTGGTCACCTCCCTTGTGATCACACTGTTATCTTTAGTCCTCCAGATGACTTGACAGGTGTAGTGCCCACTATCAGGGATTTCGAGGTTCTCAATTAAGAGTGAGGCATCCCCTGGGCTGTGCTTTGGGACACTGACCCGGTTTCGGAACTGAGACAGCAGGACATGGTCACCAGAATAGTCCCTCCGAAAGATGGTGGAGGTGCTGTGGTCTCTCTCCATGCTCCAGATGAGCGTTTGCTGTGTGAAACCATCTAAGGGCATGTAGGTACATGGTAAAGTGACAGATCCCATCCATGTGCCTTGGACCTGGTGGACACCAGTCAGATCCAGGAGGGCTGCAGGCAACAAGAGTTGAAGGGAAGAAGTAAGAAAGCAGCAGAAGAGAACATCCTTTGAATTAGGTGGGAATCACCAGGCAGTGGAACCCAGCATGAGGTCATGGCTGTAGACCACAGCCAGCCAAACCAGGGCCTGTCCCAACCTCACTGAGCATAGGGAAGTGAACGCTTGCTTTGACCTCATGGCTATTTTTATTGTTTCCCTCTGGATGCTTGCCTGTTCTCAGTTCCTTCTCGGAATAATTCTGAGAAGTAATTCTGAGGAGCACAGATCCAGTCCCTGGTGGCAGCATCACAGCTACAGTCTTCACAAGACCTTAAGGAGCATCTCTTATTCCTGCTCTCTAGCTTCAGCCTTTACACCTTGCCTCTGCTGCTTGGCTTTCTGCTTACACTGGCACATGATGAGTCAAAGAGCAAGAACTTTCCCCCACTGACATGGGATGATCTGACACCACCACTTGCAATGCTGATTTCTACCTTCTATATGGGAGGAAGGATGAACAAAGCAACTTCATTGCTTTACTGCAGTTAACAATGAATGCAACATTTCTGCATTCATTAACAGCACTATTTTTTATACAACTTCCCTGGTGCTCACAGGACCCAGCAGTATAGCTGTGCAAGGAGAAGCACTTCTCTGTGCAACAGCCTGCCCCAGAGCTGACAGAGCTGCCAGCTGGAGGAAGACAAGATCTGTGGGTCTGTGTCCATGGGGACAGGCAAGGGAATTGCTGGGACTGAGCATCTTGGCACCTTGTTTCTGACAAGGCGCTTTGGTATTCCTTTACCAGATGACTTAGAGGGGGCAGGCACAGCTTTGTTCTTAAAATCTCACCTTCCAGACAAAGGCAGTTCCTTGATGTATCAGTTTTTAAAGATCTTCCATTTCTCTACTTCTTCTTTTCACAAACTTCCATCAAGAAAAACTAAGAAGGGTGTGAGCTGTTGAGAAAGCTGCTCAAAAGTACCTTCAAGGCTTTTGAGGCACTCAAGTTCAAGTAGTTTTGCTATTCAGTGTTCATCTGGACACAATTCTGTTTAAACCTATCCCTGGTGCTGTTTGCATTGCTATGTGCCATGAAATAGCTGCCAGCATCCACTGATTCCATGTGGAGCAGCTGCACTCTGTATCTGACCAGTTTCAACATTAGCAGGGATGACTCCAAAAGAAAGCTGATTGGAAGGAATGGGAGAAACTCAGCAAAATATAAATCCCTGAGACAACACCTTTAAATGCAAATCCTCTCAGTGACGCTTCTTAAACTGGGGTGTGCTCTTCTAGACAAACAATGTCAAGTCTCACAAAACAGGGAAATACAGCTAGACCAGAAAAAAACCTAAAGGACTGTGTTACAAATTAGAAGACTGACCAGAGAGATTAATATTATCTGTAATGCATGATAATGGAAAAAAAAAAAAAAACAAACAACCCTGAAATCATATTCTGTCCCATTTTCTAGAACAACTGAGCATCTTCCTTCCCAGCCTGCCAGCACATAGAAGTATGCAGGCAGGAGTCTTTAGGGATCTCCTCTGAAGTACTGGACCTGGAAGAGGAATGGTGGACCAAAACCACCCTTTTTGCTTTAGCCTTAGAGAACTTCAGATCTGACCTAGATTTCTTGGCTCATATCTGCTTCACCCAAACAAGCACCCCGCCAAGCACTTAAGTGGGCACAGGAAAAGAGGGTGGTAAGTTTTGGCTCATTCTCCCAACCATTCCAGCTCTCTGCCCACTGAAACAACAGCTCTTCTGGGAATTGCTCCTTGTAAGTAGCAAAGTACCTGAATTTAGCTGGGCTTGGCTCACCTCTACCCATACCCTTTCTCCTCCTCCTCAGAAAGGCACTGGTTATGTTCAGATGCATTAGCTCACAGTAAGTCACTTGAGAGGCAGATCCCAGAAATCTGCTAAGCTGTTTTTTTATGACAAAATAAGGAACGTACTTCAACCTGTTTTTCTAAAGGTCAGGAGCAAAGCTGTGCTTCTTGTTAAAGCACCTTTCTCCTGTTTCCTGAAATCGTCCTCTGCTGGTGCCAGTGCCATATGTGCCTCATGGGCATATGAATCAAAGCAAGATTCCAGTATCACCTCATCTGATGCACTTAAAGAGCTAGAAGATAGGAGATTATCAGAGAGGAATCATGCGTGCCCACACCTAGTGTCACAATCACAGCTCTTTTTCCCAGGACCATGCCAGCAGAACAATCATAATGCGTTATTAAATTATAGGAGAATACACATTCCAGCTTTTAAAAGACTGCTTTGGAAGCTCATGCACCAAATCCAGTCCTGTCCAAGGCTCCTGAACAATCTTGTCCTGTTCTTGTTTTGGGGCATGGGAGATGAACTTTTGCCCAATACCACCCTATTGGTCTACTCTTAAAAGCACCTTGTATCTAATGCTAAAGGAGACTTGTGAATTCTCAGGCTCTGTTTTTTATACAAGAAACTAACAACTTTCCACAGTTGATAATTTTTGAAAATTAAGAAACTGTAATTCAGAGCCCTACCTTGCTGGGGCTCTGACTTTTGTTCTTACACACTGAAGCATGTACTCACCATTGCAGGTGACAAAAGCCATCACAAACACCACTATTTGCACAGGTTCTCCCATTCTCCCAGAACCACAGGTCTGTCCGCCTTTCCTTGCGCTTTGTGAGAGATCCCACACTCCTGGGACAGAATGCAAGTGAAGAACACTTCCCTTTCTTCTGTCCTTTGACATCTAGGATCCTCTTTCTGAAGTATCACGAGTCCATTTCACTGCTGATTAGGTGAAGGGTAGAGGATAGACAAAGACTATAAGGACCTTTACAGTTCCATTCCATATTCCCATGTCCCCATCCACTCCTTTTACCATTCTCCTGATCTTTCTGATGAGTAGTCTTTTTTATTATTCTTCATAGAATCATGGTATGTTTTTGGGTTGGAAAGAACCTTAAAGCTTCTCTAGTTCCAACCCTGTACCACAAGAAGAGACACCTTCCACTAGACCAGCTTGCTCAAAGCCCCATCCAGCCTGGGCTTGAACACTTCCAGAGATGGGGCAGCCACAGCTTCCTTGGACATGACTAATGTCAGAGGAGCTTTAATCCAGGAGACATTCTGGGTATGCTCTGTAGGTGTACCTTTAAAGGTACATGCAAAAGTTATCAATAGGTGCTGTGCACAGGATTAATATGAGTCTGATAATTAATACCAAAAAGAGAAGGGATTACAGAAGATAAGAAACATGTATAAAAGCAAGTAGACTGACATAGTGAATTCTGTTACAGGCTGTTAATCATTCATTAAAGCAGATATTTGGCATTTATTCAACAGATGTACCTTAGCATATAGTTTTAACAACCGCACCAGAAGAATATTATCTTTGAGCAGGACGCAGATGCACCCAAAATACAAGAGACATTTTTGGTTGGAGCTGGGAGGGAAAGGTAATTGCTGCAGTTTTGCCACAGCTACATGCATCATGACAGATACCTGTTTGCTTTAGCTGAAGTGTTTACACTGCAGATGAGCTCAGACCATTCTCTGGAGGTGCTGCCACTTGTCAGTGATGGCTTGTTCCCTCTCTGCACAGGGCAATGAAAACTGGAGACTATCTTCATTTTCCCAAAGTCAGTAAACTGGTGAGAACCGTGCAGGTCTCATTTCAGTGTTTGGGTGGAGATGTGTGCACACTTGCATGGCTTGCTGCATGTGATTTCAGCTGAGATCTCTTACCGCTGCTGTAAAACTTGCCTCTGGCAAGTATGGACAGCCTGGAGCAAAAAGCTGAATGTCGTGTGGCAAGACCTAGTGAAACAAATCCATTGTTCCAGGGTAAGAGCTATCACCAGTTTTCATCCTGCTAGGGAAGACAATGGAGGCAACAGCACAACCCATTCTTGCAGAGCGTGTCCTTGTTGATATGGTGCAAACTTGATTTTTGCTGCCTTTTCTTCTTGGCTATTTTGTTGAATCTACGAGTGGTACCTGTTCATACTGTCTGTACCCCATCTGCCACCAAGAAGCCATTAGCTATGAGTCCTGCCTAAAAGCAAATGAACAAAACTGCACTTGTTAAAATTGAAGTGATGTCACTGACAGAGTGAATAGGTCTATTTTCAGAGAGAGGATATAAAACTAATCCTTTACACACCCTGGCCATGACTGGTGATAGAAGCTTGTCCCAACAAACTACTTCTACACAAAAGACTTGAAAAGAAGCTGAATTTTGGGGAACACACCCTGGAACAAGCTGAAAACCCAAGCTGAAACTGCTGATATGAGCAGTTTGTGAACCGGACATGCAAGGCTTCCTGAAGCCGTAAGTCTGAAAGATTTAAAAAAAAAAAAAAAGAAGACTACTTAGTTAAAACAAACATGAAGAACTGTAGTTCCTCAAACATGATGTACGTGACATCTTTCTCTCCTTAGTACAGAGATGTGGCTGCTAGTTTTCTCCTGTCGGCCTATTTCTTTCTTACCAGAGGGGCTCCTCGTGAACATGTGAAGAAAAAGCCTTTAATGTCTCAGATACTATGGTTAGTTACCTGGTTTATCATAATAAAGTATGACTCTGCTTCTGACTGTATCTGCTGCTTGCTCCCTTTAGCCCCTCCCCCTGCAGGACCCACCTTCCTTTCACAATACTGGACATGACACACTTCCAGGCATCACAACTTGGGCAAAGTGACCCTTATGACTCTTTGTTCTGCAATTTTTGCTGCTACATCTCAGCCTAATTAGAGGTGGCACAGTAAAGTCCCCATTTCCCCCAAAATGAGCGCAGATGGGACTGCAGACACTACTCTTAGGGACCAGCTCTGCAGAGCCTGCATCATACACTTCTGTTTTGACAAAGTACACCAGAGGCTAGAGAAGTTTGCTACAGGTTTCCTGGTGATGAAATGGAAGTTTTAGCCTGCAGGAGAGTGAAGTTCAGTACCAGGCTTTGAGCAAACAACTAAAATTTAAGTAACTGAAGAAGAAAGGTCTTATAGTTCTCTTTTAGAGCCATCTGCACTCAGAAAAAAGAAGGCAATTTTTACTGCAAGTGTTGAGATATTCTTATTTTGTCCAGTCATGGCTAGGTCACAGATCTGACTAAACAGAAGAGGAAAGAATTCATGATGCCAGCTGCATTGCCGTTCTTTGTTCATACAGCATGTCGCCCTCTCCTGAAAAGCCAAACCCACTGGTCTGGGTGCTGTACCCACCCCAGCACCTGCAGAAAGAACAAACTCTTCTACTTATTCCTCAAGCAGCACATAACATGTCTACCTGTCTGCTCAGATTTCACCGACTTCAGAGCTCTGCTTGTTGCTGCCATAAAACTTGCCGCAGCAGGTTCTTTTCTGCTTCTCAGTTGCTCCATATAGCACTGAAGCCCCATATTCCCCCTTCAGTACGTTTGTTTCAGGGATGGAGCTCTAGACAGGTGGGCTGCTTTCTAGTAAGAGAGACATTCCCTTCCGAACCTCTCTCTACCAAACAAGTACACACACACACACACACGCACACATTTTAAAACCCCCTTTTTAAAGAATGAGACCATTACTGAAGGGCTCCAAGAACTGCAACCTCATCTAGAACTGGAGGATTAGAGAACATTAGTTTCCCAGGATGTTTCAACACTGTTGTTTTGTCATCACATTAGCACACTATCCAGTCATGATTTGTTGTTCTCTGCAAAACTCTTAGTGATAACTGTGTGCCTTGCAGTACTATTGCAACAGTTTTCCTCCCCTGCTCACCTTCCTCCTTAGAAATAGAGACTGTCAGACTTCACTGGCTTTTTACACACTTCATAATGGAAGTCATTTTTTTTTTCACATCTGAAACATCTCATTTCACCAGCTCTGAACCTCAGATAGGACTAGCAGTGACTCTCGCACCTTCTATTTTCTACACTGTGGCCGACTACAGCTTGCAAACATCAACTAACACAACATCCAAAACATTCCCAAAACTCCAGCAGATTCACAGTAATTCTTCTGCTTTCAGGTAGAGGGACCTAATATGCTCCTGGACACGCACAGACGTTCATGCACATTCAATCTTTCTGCCAAAATAAAGAGAAGTGTAACAAAATCTACTAACTTTACGGTCCTGAAGTTTAATGGTTTTCATTTGCTTCTCTGTGTCTACAATAAGCTGTATGTACATCTTGACAATTTTTTTTCAAGACATCATCACTAACAAAAGTTGCTGTTTGTTTCCTCTTCATTTTGAAATCAGGGTTTCCCAGCTCTTGTTTTTTAAGCACATTCTTAAAGAGAAATAAAACTGGTACAGGAAATTCAGGAAATTTCCTTCCTTTTACCTTTGGAGAAACCATAAACAAATATTCTTTATTCATCTTCTCCACAGTGGTCATGATGAGTAAGCTTTGCTCATTTTGCCCCATTCTTCTCTTTTCTTCTGGTTCAAAAAGCTGAGAAAGTATAGTGCATTTACACAGAAGTGTTTTCATGCCACTACTGAGCCTTAATGATCTTTCTCAGTAACTTTTCTAGCTCTGTTAAACCCTTGCAAGATGAGACACCTACGTACATACATAAGGTGGAAGCATTCCATGAGTCCGTTATCACAATCCTGTTTTCTATTGTGTTGTAATGCTTTTCCTAATAGCATCTAATACTTTCTTGGATTGCTGGTGAATTTTGAGCTGATGCTTGCAGAGAATTGCTCACCTTTCCTGAGTGTGAACAGCAAATCTGGGGGCCCACTAACCCTGTATCCAGGATTATCACCAATATCCCCCTTCCCCCCCAGGTTGCTCATTTTGTTTTACATCTGTCTGCATGGCTTTTAATCTGACATGGTATTGCCCAATTATTATAAAAAGGTTCTCCCATAAATTTGCTGTATCCATGTTATAGATTTACTTAGGATAGTAGAAATTATGAACAACAAAGCTTTTCAGCTCCCTACTTGCCCTTTCCTTCCTAAGCCAGCAGGAAAGTATTTTGTGAGCATCTTTTGAGGAGTGCTTGCTGGCATTTTAAAGATGAGCTGGTCACACAAAAATATTCATATCAAAGTACTTTAGGAGTGTGTAAACAGTCTTACCCACAAACTTAGGAAAAGCATCTTTTAAATATTACACATGCATTAAAAAAGAGAACAGAGAAAGTGGACTCAGGAAGAATGTACCTTTTGCAGTTTCAGAGGCACCCAAGCTGTGCAGTGCCAAAACTATAGAAAGTGTGCCTGCATCTTATTGCAGATGATGCAGAAAGGTGAATTGAGCATAGAACAGTGCCTTTTTTACTCCTAGAGTGGTAGAGTTCTTGGTTTTATCCTGTCCTTAATCTGTCTTTCAGTGTTTCTTTAAGGAGTATCTCACATTTAAGACATTCTACCACCCATGCAACACTCAGGTGTGTGGGAGGAGAAATGCCAGTTCCCAGGGCAGCCTCATTCTGCGCTTCTTACTCAAAGATGATGAGGATGTTGAGCCCCTCTTGCTGCTGGTTCTACTCCTACCACATGAAGGCTGTGAATGCAGATCCTTTTGGTATTGCAAAGCACCAAGTTTAGTACAGTGCTCTTGGCCTGGGATCTGCATATCCTGGCTTTTAAAGGGCTTTCTTCTACAGAGGGGGTGGAAGGAAACCAAAAATGGCAAAATCAGAAGATCTATATAGCAGTTTGCAACAAAAGTTCTCAAAGAGCTTTGCGTTTTCATTGAGGAGATTGTTGAGGCTCCACAAGTCATGAAGGAGCAAAAACTGCTTGTCCAACCTGTTTTTAGAGAGATTAAGGTGAATAGGAAGATATATTTTGCCTGAATGAAAGTGCTGTTCAGGACTGCTACATGTAGCAATAAGTTGGTTCTCACGCAGTGTCCCCTACTTCATATTCAGATTCCATGGTGTTTCCAGCACAGTCATTCTTTTTCATATTTATTTCTTCAGATCTTTTGTCTTTCATGGGCTCCATCACATACTTGTTTTCAGTGGAGATGGCTTCCTCATAGTAACCTGCACTTTCACACCTTAAAGCATCTGCTGCCCTTGAGTTATGGCTGAAATCAAAATACAGTAGGAAAGAAGAGTTGCAACCAGAGTAGCTGAAGTATCTCCCAACCCTCAAGATTGTAGCTGAGGAACTGAATGTAGTCCATATCCACCATGTAGCTTATGACATCCAGTATCTTTAAAACAATGGTAAATCCTCTGAGGAGAAATGCCATCACACTATTTGTTCAGTTGCTCAGGATTCAACTGTTACTGGGTAAGCACAAAATCTTGGGTGAATACTGATGGCATGTTCTCCCATGGCACTCTAATCATTAGCAATTTGGTTTATATCTGGATAAGTGGTTCTCCTTGCGTGTTTTCACTGGATTATTAGGCTTTTCAGTATAGCATCCATGGGTGATGAATACATCAGAATGCTGAAACATGAGTTTAGAAATAGCTATAACTTCCTGCCACAGCTGCAATTAAAAGAGGCAGGTTCAGCCAAGGATATTTCAAGGATAAATCAAAGTATATTCTGTGCATCTGGAGCCTTAGCTTTCTAGAAGGGGAATTCCTGTCCTTTACATTTGTAAAAATGCTGGGAATTTATCCTTGGCTGTGATCTTTCATAGGCCTTATTGGGCTGAAGAGTTAATAAACAGCTCTTGCTAGTTTTTATGATTCTAATATTGCAAAGGAGAAGCTCTTTCTTGTGACACTATTTGTTGACGTGGAAAGTCTACAGATCATCTGTACAGTGTACTACAGACTAACTTTGAATGTGTTAATCCATACTGCTTCAGAGACTTTTAATCTTGACAGCTAAGTAACACCTGTTTGGTTTCCCCCCTCCGTTCTCTGATACAGTCACAAAAGACTCACCAATATGTCAGATAAAGGGTTATACTTACAATTTTACTTCGTAGGTCTGAGCTAGAAAAGAATAATCAGAAATGTGTGTCAATAATTTGCATTTATATTCTCAAAAATAAATTCTACTGTCTTTACTTGATACAAGAAAGCAATGTCTGAAGACAGAATAAAAATAGAAACCTTAGAGATAGTGCTAGGTGGGAGATGACTCCTATTCCCAGGATTTAGTTCAAGAAAATGAAAACAACTCATATCCCAGCTGTAGCACAACTGGGTCAAAGTAACTGAAACCAGGGTTAAAGTTTAGAAACTGAAAGTTAAATTGAAAGTTCCCAGTTCCCACAATTTCACTATACAAATTGTTCAGTAAAGAACAATTTGGGAAGAGGTTATTAGAGATTCCTTAAAAAAGGCAAAAAAAGAGTATTTGATAATAATTATTATTAATTGGTAGCATGGAGTTGTAGAAAGGCAATTAAAGACACAAATGGATAAGGAGAAAACTATGGCCATCAGTATTAAAAAAACCCAGACCAAAACTCCAGTGTGCTCTCTGTACACTGCCGAGTGCTTCAGCGAGCACCACACATCTTGGCAAGTGGTCAGGAGATTTGTAGCATTAGCACAGAAAAGACAGAATTATTCAGTAAATATATCCTACACTTGAAGAGTAGAAAGGAAATGAACTGTTATTGAATAGGGAGAATTAATGATGAACTCTTTCCCTCCAGGTACTAAGGGAAATACTAAACAGCAGCTGGTGCAAGCAGGTATTTTAAAGTAGCAGGACAAGATTAACTTGCTACCAGGTACCTTAAAAGATCTGATCAACAAACTCAGTCCAGCAGGTTGCTTTGAGAGTCATGGGATGTCTGTGGGGACCAGAGGGAAGGAACCATCCCAAAGTAACCGAGGCAGCATGGCAGAGAAGGTGAGCACCGCAGGATGGCCCAGGGGAGTAGACCCCTCTTGGAACCAGCACAGGATGAGTGTGGCAGAGGCTGCTTCATCACCATGCCAGCCCTTCCCACAGCACCCAGTGGTGTGGGAGCACCAGGGTGATGCTGCCTGCTGGGCTCCTCTCCAGCTGGTGCCTGGCAGACCTTCCTCAACTGCAGCAACTGCTTATCTCTGAGGAAAAGGGACTTCTCCACCTCTTTAGAGCTTCCACCACCTGTTTTGATCCATGCACAATTTGATTGACTGCCTATATGATGTAGATGCCAGAGCTGCTACTGGAAGCAGTGAGCGCAGTACCAGTCCCATCCCAAAAGCACATTTATAGGTAAAGCCAAGCTGGGCATGCAAAATACTGTCAAGTTTTCCAGAACATTCTACTCACCACCTTTGGGCTTCCTCATGCGAATGATGAGAAAGATGACAAGCAAAACCGCAGCAGCACACACCACCACAATCAGAATGATGAGGAACGGGGACAGGTGAGTCCCTTGGACATCTAGAGCAATACAGAAGAAGACTTTCAAACAGAGAAGCCCTCCTGGGTCATGGTAGCAGAAGCAGTTACATGATGCTGACCACTTTCTCAAGGCCAACAGCAGCCAGCCCTGTCATGAACACATGGGGTTGTATGCATATGCCTGTCCTTGCTTGTCTGCATCCTGACAGCACCTTGCTCTTGTGGCTCTGAATAGGTGTGGCTGAGCCAGTCTAACTCACTGTGCTGCATCTCTCACTGTGGGCATAAAGACAGCCAGCAGAGGCCCACCGAGACTGTGATATGGGCAGAATAGTTGCTCTACGTGTCACGAAATCAAGAGTTGCAGCTTTTCATTCAAGCATACTGTTCAGCTGAGTTTGAACATGTTTAAACCTGCCATGTCACAGCAAAGTTGAGGATGTATAAAAAAATATGCTTGAGTTCCACACTGAGGCTTTTCTGCTGTTGCAGTTTTGACGCTCAAAGGAAAGATTGAAATGGACTACTGTTTGGGAGCATAGCAGCAACTCTGCTTCAACTATAAAAGCTTCCCTCCTGCCTTAAAAACCCCAGCGTCTTTGAAAGAGTGACTCGTGAATCATGAGCCATGAATCATCAAGGTCCCTTGAGAGCAGCTGTTAATGCAATTTGCAGCCAAAAAAAGCAGAACACTAATTTTGAGGCTTGAGGTATGGACTATTTGGGTCCCTAATCTCATTCTTAGGTTTGTTTTGCTCTCCACTTACTCTGAGTTGTATAATTCTTTTCTGGATATCCCACACCATTCTCAGAAGTCACTACTGTCACAGGAGGTTCTGCAAAACAAACAGGAGTGAAAGGCTCACAGTGGATTTCCAATCCTAATTTTAGCAACAGAAGATCTGGAATTATAGTTATAGGATTAAAAGAGAATGTCTCTGTCACATTTACAAGGCAGTAAAAATAGGCAAACTCTATAAATGAGTGCAATATATACACTGTAATATTGAGAGAGTATGTATGGTACTACATATACTCACTGGATGGATACTGTGTATACTATATAAACTATGTATACACAGACTATATATATATATATGTATATATATACACACACACGGTATACATAGAGTCATAGAATAGTTAGGGTTGGAAAGGACCTCAAGATCACCCCATGGGCAGAGGTGCCTCACAATAGACCATATCACCCAAGGCTCTGTCCAACATGGCCTTGAACATGGCCAGAGATGGAACATTCATCACTTCTTTTGGCAGTGCCTCACTACCCCATGTATTAGCAGTGAAGTCCAAGAGATTACTGAGATGCTCCTGATCACCATCTTCATTTGGGGCTTTTCCCCTGCAACTGTCAGCATGTTCCCTTAGCTTCTGGTCACTGCTGTGTAACTGGTGGGGCACTATAAATTCACATGAAACATAACCCCAAAACATAGTTTCCAGAAGCAGACCTACTGTAGCCCAGGTCTGAATTTCCACACCCCACAAAACAAAACTGGAAATCACAAGCTCTCTCTCAGGAAAACTGCCCTTAGTAAGGTAGATTGTTCCCAGTGAGGTCTGGAGTAGCTTTTGCATAACTTGGATATGCCACTAGAGATAATAGCTCTGCTTCCCACTGCAGCGGCTTTCATTCTAGACCAGGAAGCAAGTAAAGAAGCCCTTTAAAAAAAAAGGACAGAACCCAAAACGTTCCATATTGATCTAGAAGACAGGAAATTATAGTTCTACTATGTATGTGCACAAAGACGCATAAAGAGTCTCTCAGGCAGAGACAGCCTTCCATGCATCAGAAAAGAGAAGTTCCTCTGAAGAGGAGGGGAGAAGTTGAATAAAGAAAATAAACAAGGATAGAAAGCTGGAGCCAATGATGCAAAGTTCTTCAGAGATCAGAAGTCCAACACTTTTCATATTTTCCTTTCTCAGGGAAAGGAAGTAGGAATGTTGTTCCATTCTGGAAGGAATACAGATGCTTTCCATCCAGCTGTGACTCTGGGAACTCACCTGTCACTGTGAGCTCAACAGCATCGCTCTGCTGCACAGCCCCTGCTCCAACCCACCCACCCACACCTGAGCACCCACGCCTGGGGAAAGCAGTGGGTAACACTGCTGGAGTCCCTCTCTGGAGGCATTCAAACCCCACCTGGATGCATTCCTGTGTAACGTGGTCTAGGTGGCCCTGCCTTGTCAGTGGGGTTGGACTAGATGATCTCCAAGAGGTCCCTTCCAACCTTAATGATTCTGTGATTCTGTGACAGGGAGTATCATTTCTATCCCACCTGCAAAGAGGATCTGCAGCCCAAAAGGAGCATCAAGTGGGTTTGTCTCGCTCACCTTCTCTGTCAGTCACAGAGTGCCAGGGTGAAAGCAGCCTTTCCCCTGCAGCCCAGGTCACTTACCTGTGGTCACTGGCTGGGGCACATTGCCTCGAGGGGTGAACAGGGGTGTGCTCTGTTGGCCTGTCCCAGGGGTGGGCTGCTGTGTGACTGAAGACCCTGTGGGAGAGACTAATCAACGGGCCATGTCCCCTGCTCTCTGTTAGCAGTGCAGGTCAGGTAAGAGCAAGGCATGCCACGGGTAGGAGCCAGACTCCTATCCTGCACAGTTCTGGTCCCAAGAGGACACAGGGGACATTGTCTTAACCCCTGCCATAATCAGGCACACTCCGAAACAGGAGGAGTATCAATCTGTGGTTTCCTCTCTGGGAAAGCAGTGAGGACACAATTCATGTCTAACATTACATAGCTGATCCTACTATGAAAGAAGGAACTCCCTGTCTCAGTCTTCTGCAGCAAAGATGAGGAACTCTATCCTGGGGACTCACCTGTCACTGTGAGCTCAACAGCATCACTCTGCTGCACAGCCCCGGCCCCAGCCCTGTTTTCCACCTCACAGTAGTACTTCCCAGTGTCGGAGGGCTGCAGGCTGTCCCACACCAGCTCAGCCTGCCTGCTCAGCAGCAGGGCTTTCTGTCCCGGGGTGCCCCTGAACCAGCGGTAGCTGATGGGGGGGGACCCGCTGGCCACACAGGTCAGGCTGGTCCTGGCTCCTGTGGGTACCGTCAGCCCCAGTTCGCCGGCCCTGATGATGGGCTTGGTTGCTGCCACTGGAAGACAAAGCAGATGAGATCCAGGTCACACTGGCCCTAGTTGTGGTGGGGAAGGTCCCCCTTGCCATGGCAGTTCTTGCTCTGGCTTTGGGTGCTTTCCCAGGAGGAAGAGGGGCACTGCTTTCATGTCACCTCTCTGCACAGGTTAATCTTGACTTAGCTGTGACTGTACCAGTTATATCACCCATTGCACCTCCTGCACAAAGGATGTTGATGACATCCTCCTTCCTCTGTAAATCATCCCTGCCCAGGCGAAGGGAGATCAGGCACATGAGATGAAGTTTGGTCAAAGAGAAGCAATGCAATATTCCAGAAAGTTCCTCTTTGGTGCACATCCCTTGGAAGCATTGCACCACTGGCAAATTGGTAAGCGAGAAGCCACAAATCCTCCCCCAGCCTCCAAACTGCAGGGTGCCATACCTTGGGCAAAATTCCTCTCTGACCTATTTGCTGCTTCTTGGCAGAGTCTAACACTGCTCAGCGCACTGCTCCTGCATCACAGTGGGTGGTCACTGCCTATCTGGTCTGATTCCTAACAGCCTTCCCGAGCCAAGCTTTCCACTCTTGCACAGCTTCCTTCTAGGGTTTACCTTTAACTACCTCCAGTCCAGTGGTGATCTCTCTTACTATCAGGCTGTCACTGCTGTCCCTCCAGGTGACCTGGCAAGTGTAGGTTCCCTTGTCAGAGACCTCCAGGTTCAGGATGTGGAGAGACACATTCCCTGGTGTATCCTTCGGGACACTGACCCTGCCCCTGTAGTCAGACAGCAGAACATGGTCGCCAGAGTCGTCCCTCCGAAAGACGGTGACAGGATTCTGGTCACGGACCACCATCCACTTGAGTATTTCCTGTACCAAGTCCTTCACAGGCACATAGACACATGGCAAGGTGGTAGATTCCTTCCATACACCCTCAATCTCAGGGTGGCCAGTCAGGTTCAGAAAAGCTGCAGGAAGGATGGAGAAGAAACATTTGAAGAGAAAAAGCAATAAACATGAAAGCAGCTCCTGGGTGATGAAGCAATGATGAGAGCATCAGCAAGTGGAACCCACCAAATCAAAAAGATGGGCAGCCAGTGTAGATGGTGGGCTAACAAAAAGCAGCATGGCATGAGGAAGGCAGATAGAGGTACAGCATTATGCCATGCATGCAGTTTGCCTCTCATGCTCTGCCTGGTGCTTACCTGCAAGCAAGCGAACACCTGGAGGCAAGTGAACAGGTTCAGAATTAGCAGAAGTCTTGGGCCTGAAGGAAGGCATTCGTCTCAAGCCCTAGTTGTTCAGCTCAAGGTCACAGCTGGTGTCTGCACCCGCCACCCAACATCACTTCTGGGGCTTCCCTGAGAAGCACCACACGTTAAGGGCAAACCACAGCTTTGATGGCTTTCCCTCCTCCACTGTGCATTTATTCTCCTGAAAGACTCTGCTTTTCAGACTAAGCTGAATTCAAGCAACTTAAGAAAAGGCTCAAAGAAGTCTAAAACTTGTTAAATTTTCCTATGAGGCCCATACCTTTGTTCCAGTACATTTTTGTCACTCTTGGGTTTGAACCTGTGCTTCCATAGACACTTCCTCACCTTTTTCTCCTGGTTTGCAAACCTCCCCTTTCCTGGGAACATGCACTACCCAAACTCTTTGTGCTGGGCTGCTCACTGTGTTCTGGGAAATAACCATCATAACGTATATGGGATCTGCATACTCTAAGCACATAGGCAGCATTTCCAAAGCCATCATGCAACTGTTGTGCCCTGCAACCACTGGATTTGAAACAGGCGAACACCAAGCCAGCAGCACACAAAGATACTGGCCTTTTTTTGCCATATTTCTATTCCCCAAATAGAACCACCCCTGCACAAACACACACAGACACACCAGTACCAGGAAAGGAGCATCCTGAACAGGAGACCTTTCCATAGACTCACCATTGCAGAAGAGAAAAGGACTCAAAAACACAGCTGCTCTCACCAGCATTTCCATCCCCCTCTCGAGATGCACTTTCTCCCTCTTAAGTAGAGCAAAGCCACTCTCTCCAAGATAGAGGGTAAATCAAGAACACTTGAGCCTTCCCTCACTTTGTCGTCAAGAACCCAGGGCAGCTGTTGATGGCTTTTCCTTCCTCTTTTTCAGAAAAAAAAAAGACAAAAAAGAGCATCTCAGTGATGACTCGTAGAGGTGTGAGCAGAGCAGAAGTCCTAAGGGAGGGTGGAAAGAGGAAAGCTGAAGTTACTTCTACCCTATTTCATATTTCCTGCTGAGTATGCCTTCTTCTCCTTCTGGTTTTTAGCTCCATTTTAAAAAAGTTTCATGTTTGTTCTCTTTTTCTCTTTGCATTGTTTACCAAATAATAAGCTTTAATATGCGTGTTACCAACAATGCGAGTACATCCAAGAGCACCCTTCAGGAGCTAAACAACCAAGGTCCTTACAACTCATTTTCTTACCAGCTTTTCTGTTAAGGTCAGCACTGTGCTTTAAATCAAAATTCATGAAACAACCTAAATCTTCACATTATCAGTGTGAAACACATGATTGCTGTAGGTGCCTTCCAACTGAAACATTCTATTCTGTAGCAGAATATTCCATTTATTTAGTTATTTGGTATTTAGTAATTTGATTGCATGACTGAATTCATTAATTGTATTCAACTAAAAACCTGCATTAGGGCCACCTGCATTTCCCTGTAGACTACTTTGGAAACAGGGAAACGGTTATATACCTAGACAGGGGAAAAAAAGGGAACTTACCAAAGTAGAAAATCTTAGAGACTATATAATAGTGTCTTCTTAACTGCAATGAGATGTGTTATTATTAATTAAAAGTAATATTAGTTGTAGTTAATCTGCATTAAGTGGTTGAGCACTAGACCTGCACAGGAGAAGTATCTGTTCTCTACTGAAACATTATCTTCAAGAGATTTTACATGCCTTATGCTGTCTTCTGCAACTCTTATTTTCTCTTACAGTCCAGTGATAGATATTTGCTGCTTCATTGTATTCAGACAAATCAATATAAGAACTTTGCTATTGTTACATTCAAATTCAACATCCAGTCCTCAAAATACAAGTCCCCAGAACAAATAGATGCAGTCCGCAAAATCCTAGACCGTGCTCTGAAGTACAATCCTCCTTTAGTGACAGTGAGACCACGTTTGCACCCATAGCAGCACAGTACAGGGTAACAGAGCAATCAGTGTTGCATACCTGATTCTGAAGTAGTGATGGTGTGGGGAAAAAAGTATTTCATATGAATTATACATGGCTTAAAGACAGCTCCACCTACATTGTCATTTGTAGGCAGATTCATTAGGTTGTCATGTAATTTAACATTAAAATCGGGACATTTGTGTATGCAGTCCTGGGAGCTCTGATATCTTCTTCCTTTTCTTTCAAGGTCTTACCTTTCATTGTGGTTGCTTGCTTTTACATATATTCTTACCTTGGAGTAATTGATAGATCATTCTGCAAAAAAGGCATGCTTAAAAGTATATATGCATATAGAATTGTGATTATTTTTTTTTTACTGTTTGTTATTAACATTGATCTAATGATGACAATGTTATGGGTATGAGTTTTAATTTGGTTCTTACCAGGTTAAAACATTCTGATCTCTGTTTCTCTGAAGCTGGTGATTTTACTACAAACAATTTTCATGCCTTTATTTGGTTAAAAAATCTTTATGTCCTTGTGGTTGTTGATCAGTCACAGCCTAAAGGATCCTCTATTTAATTAATTTCTTACCATCTACAATATTTGCAGTTATACATGTAATTAAAAGACATCTAACTAGCTTAAGGTCTAAATACTTCTGAAAAGATGCTACATAATAAAGCAGAGAAAAAGGTTCTACAGAGATTCAGGTGATTTTGGGACCTGATTTCACATGCTTCTCCCTTGTGCCCTGTATTCCTCCCTGTTCTGATGACAGGCAGGATACGCCACAAAATGACCACACACTAGCAGTATAATATGCACAGTTTATTAAACAAGCACACTGAAGTGAATAAGCACACTAAAGCAAACAAGCACACTAACATGAATGGGGTATCTCTCTCTCTCTCTCTCTCTCTCTCTCTCTCTCTCTCTCTCTCTATATATATATATATATATATAGTAAATGAGTCCAATGCAGCAAATCAGAGATCTATACATAAAAAGTATGGAGGAAAATTAGCAATGCATCAAATCATTAAGAAGAAATACAGGTACCACCAAATCATCATCCAGACCCACACTCCAAGCTGGCAAGCCCCATTGCAACCAGTGCCAGGAGTCCCAGCTAGTTGGGAAAATTCCCATGCAGTGTGTCCATCCATAGGTGGGGCCTTGGATTTGGCCACAAGAGGCTCCTGCTTTTATACCCTTTAAAAACCAACTGGTTTTATGCCAGCTCTCTAATTGTTTGCTCGTGGGGCCATGCACCTTCTAATGATTTCACTTTTGTCTATGCTGAGAGCATTGTCTGGGCACTCCAGTGCGGCCACATATAAAGGTCACAGAACAGCTGCACACCACTGTTTCCCTGCCTCTTTCAGACAGTCACAATGAACATAAATATATATACTCTACTGAATACACTTTGACCAAAAATCCCTATTCTTGGTTATGTCTCTCAATCACGAGAAGGTATCAACTCTCAGCTAGGTTCCCATCCATTCCAATTCCTCAGAAATCTTCCATGAGATGCAATGCCAATCTGCAGTTGCTGGGATGGGGAGAAGCAGGGAAAGCTTGCATGGGTGGCAGTGTTCTCATACTTCTTGGTTCATAAACGGATGAGAAAATAATATGTTAAGTTCAAATTAATGAGATTGCTTTCTGGGGAGCATGGCTGGCTGGACAGGAGGGCAGAAGCCCCAACTGACTCAGACTAAGTCATAAGGGAACCTACCACTAGCAAGGTACATACAAACCAGGAAGCTAAAACTCAAACTGCTGACAAAATCAGGATGTGTAGATATTTATATATTTATTTATGTATTTCTATTTACATTTACCTGTTTGGCTGGGGGGGGGACGGGACAGTAGCAGCAGGGATCGCTTGTCCTTTATATGATGCAAGTACAGACACCTGCACACTAAGATGACCCTTCGTAGTAATCTCTTGCTCCTGCTTTGGGAAACTAGGGTAACAGATAACTACTTTTCAAAACAGCAATCTTGTTTTAGGAGACAGAAAAACATTTTGGGCAGGGACTGGATGAGGCAGCATCATACAGTCCATGAGAGACAGAGCTCATGCTCTCGAAAGCTCTGTGTTAGCAAACACACAGCAATATGAGATAATAAATGCAAGGCTTTGCTAACATCGCCTGTGTGCTGAGTGCTAGTCTGGGACAATACAAGTAATAATTATAAAAGGAGCCTCTGATGGGCACTTTCCACTTTCTCACGCTGTGCTTGCCATGCGTGTGTTCTGTAAATTCTCAGCACATGGAAGTCCAGGAAAACCAACCTTTTCTTCCCAGCCACAGGGCACTAAAACCAAGAAGTAGAAGCAGAAGCTCTGCGTGTTGATGTCAGAGGAGGAAGGAAACTTGCATTATAGTGAAGCAACTGTGGTCACTGGTAACACCAAGTTGTTACACATCAAGTTGCAGTCCCAACCAGCATGCTGTTGTGCATAGAGGGGGTGGTGATCCTCTTGTCATCCACCCACTGTAGAAGCAGACAGGCTTGGGTACCTCCTCCTAACAGGGGAGTCTATCCATATTCCAGTGATACTGCCACTGTTGTGCCTGTGCCCGTGGCCTTATCTTGAAGCAGAGGAGCACGTTTTCCTTGAAGCATCCTTTTTTCTTGGCAGTGTAAATGATCAATAGAGTTTTTCTAGGAATATCCTTACAAAAATTGTAAAGGCCACAGTGCCAGTTAACCTCAGCATGGGCTCTGCTGTTCCCTATTTCCTTCTCATGTTATCTCCAATAAATGTTGGATTAATCTGTACCTAATGGAGCTGGAGTCATTAAGCTTGCACTGGTGCACTACATCTGGTGTACCTGGCAGAGCCCCAGAGGGAAATAGCTCTTCAGGAAAGGGTAGCGAGGCAAGCATGGGGTGGGTGCCTGATTAGGGAGGATGCTTGTGCAGTCCTTGGGCTGAGCAACCACAGCGTGAGCTGGCAGACTGGGAAAGAATAATCCGGGTGTCCCATCCCAGCTGAAATACTAACCTGTCTCCAGAAGGAAAAGGGTTGTTAAAAAAAAAAAGGCCAGCAGAATTTTCATTGTATTTGGTTGTTACTAACATGCTTTCCAGAGTACTGGGAAGTTCTGACTAGGCAGAAAGTTACTGAAGACTGAGATACAGTAAGAGCTGCTCTGGCTACCCCCACAAGAAGAACAGATGAAAGGGCCAAGCCCTGCTGCGCTGGCAGTGGTGTACAGCAGGTACAAGGCTAACACTAGGATCCTACCACATGGGACGCCAAGTTTTGACCAAGCAACAGGGACTCTGGACAACCCCTCACACTGTGTGAGGTTACACCCCCCTGGGTGAAACTTAATGGCAAAAAAATCAGAGAGCCATGGCTCTGAATTAGAACTGTTGGTTTCAGTTATAGCATCTCTTTTTTTTTTTTAACAAACGTGTAAGTAATAGAACGAATCTAGAAATCAGAATAGAAGTAATGCTAAAGGAAGAAGCCATTGTAAGTACTAGAAGATGCTCAGATCTGTCTGATAACCACCCTTAACAGCTGTAATATAGTGAATCTAAGCTAACACTGTATGATACATGATCTTAAGGTGCTAATAACTTTTTTTTAAGGGAAGAGATGATGGTGCCTATGCCTAAACATACCAACTGCTGATTTAAGCAAAAATGTAAACTTTGTTTATTATAGAAAAGAGGGAGATGGGGAAATGGAAGTGTGGAGAGGGAGGCGTGGACTGTGTGCTCCTATCAAGGAAAATATTCCAGCTCTGTGAACAAAGATAACAACAAATTGAAAGCTTTTGTTAACCTTTTTTATAAAGCAGGTAACAGAGGGACTGAGTATCCCA